CACTTTCAATGATGCACTATCAATTACGGAAGCTAATAGTTACAGGTAACGGCCGCGAAACAATAATTAATTGTCGGAAGAAAAGAATGAAAGAAACGTGAATCGAGTTTCTTACCAGCTGATTGTATGACGGAAGAAACGACGAAGAAATGCGGACCCAATAGGGCACAACAGGTCTTTGTTTTCTATGAAGATTCCTGAAAATGAGATATAACAATTATTTAACTTCATTTCGTGCTGTCTTCGTTTCAACTTGTCTTTTGGCCGTAATCTTCATATCAATACGCCAAAAAACTTACCATTATTTCTGTCATATCGAACAATGCTGTCCAACGAACCCACGGACTTTGGTCTGTTCTCATCTGAATATTTTGCAATTCAAGGAAAAAATCTCCAGGTATTTTTAGTTCATTTCCCTTTCGACATTTCGTTTTCGTTACACTTGCTCTTTCAATGAAACATGACAATTTTAAGTTTTCCTTCTCATAAGAATAATTTACGAGTTTTACTTCACAAATCCAAACGTTGTATCCTTGTTTTGAGTAGTATTCCACATTCTTTAATGCAGTTTAAATTTGTAGTTGATGTAAAGTTATTGAGATTGAAATTTCCAGTCAATACATAATGTTACTCGTTCTTGGAAATGTTACATTTTCCAATTCTGAGTTATTAATATACGGGGTAACGGGTATAACTCGGACTAAACATTTTTAAAAATATTAATTGAAAAGTTAACTTTTCTTCTTGTTAAATTTGCCTTAAAATATGAAAACAAAAAAAAATACTGTAATGATATTGTACCAGAGTGAATTTAAATCCATTAAACATAGTTCATTCTTCGAAAATACTTAGGGTCTCTACTTAAATCTTATTTTAAGCGTTTACTGTACGCTTTTCTTAAGTTATCTCTAATGATGAATAAAATGTGACGTCACAGTAACTAAATTGAAATTTGCGAAATAAATTGTAAAGGCAAGAAATCTCAGAAATAACGTTTAGAACAAACTATCATCCACGGTATTGAACATTTCTAAATAGATTTGATCTATTTCAAAGATCAAAAATACGTGTTAAAGTTATAGAAGTCATATTCAAATAGATCAAACAATCAATACATCAAGCCCTTATTCTAAAATAGCATTTATCGTAATACCTAAAAAAGTTTAGTGCCTTTGAAGCTATAGTATTTTTCTTTGTAATGAAAAGCATTGTTACTGAGATATATTTTCATGAATGCACAAAATTTCACTTCGCTAAAAAATGACATGTCTACTTTCGTACTGCAGCTCTCTCGAAAGAGATTGATTGAAATACCTAATGTTATATCTTTCTAAAATTTTTAGTGCATAGTTATAACCAACAGCGTTGTTTAATACCTATATTGTCAATTTTATGTATTGAAAACGCTTTGATATACATGGCCTGCAGAATAAGGATTGAAGTTACGTGTTGTTTTTTTGAATGCGTATCACAATCATGGAACATTTGTTAGCGAATGAGCAACAGGTTATTTGCTACATTGTGAAAGCAAAATCTTTTTATTCTCAAAAAATGCTGAGAATCAATGTATGCCTTGTATTCTTATCCGCATCCTAAGGTTATAGCACTTGTGTTCTTAAAATGCTGCAGATTTTTCTTAAACAAGCAGGGAAGACCTTTGCAATTGTGATTAATCCCAGTGTTAAGCTATCATTTCCAATGAAGGTAATCTGGTTTGTAACTTTCTTCATATGTAATTGATGTAACTAACTTTATGAAGCACCACACCGTCAATTTAATTTTTATTCAAAGCTCATACGCTGTCAACGATTTATTAAAAGTATTCTTTCATTGCTCTACCAGATGAAATATTCAAAAAGGTAACTTTTAGAATGTTTCATCGACAACTCTAAACAAAAACGAAATGCCTATATTTACCTTGAGAAGACCGCAAAGTTCGTCCAAGACTATTTCCCAGCTATAGCTAATTCACCTTCACAAATGATTGTAATTCAAAACATATAATATAAACAAACCACATAAATAAAACACTAATGCGCGGCGCTTTAATTTTTGATCCTCACATCAAAAGTTTTAAAATTAAAATTAAACATCTTATTTTCGTTTAACGTAAGAAACAAGCTCAATTATTTTCTCTCAAACATTTTATTTTTAATTGGACAAAAATTTAGATTTGACGTATTTTATTAACAACTACTGTTCTTAAGAAATTTAAATAATTTAATTACTTTCAACCTTTCTTTTAAATATATTTACTTAAGTACAAATAATGCCGTTTTACCTCATGATCTCAAAAAAGGAAGATTCTACATCTCTCCGAGAATAGAACCAGAGTGATTCAAGACTCTAGATTTATTCTATCTTATTTACAATTCATACTAACAGATATAGTTTAAAACCATTAAACTATCTCACACTGGTTTTTTTCGCTTAAAATCTTTTTCCATAACGCATAATCATACAATTTCTGAAATCATTTTTCAATTCATTACTATTTAAAGTGGAGTGTTTCGTAATTTTAGACTACAATTAAAAAGGCTTAATTAGAATTATCAAGTTGAAATTTGCCTAGGGCCCAAAATATCTTAAAGTCTTTTGCTAACTCTAAAATAGCAACTCCACAATTCAAAAATAATAATTTTCTGCAGGCCAAGCCGTTATCAACAAGGTCAATACATAGCGCATTTTGAATGCCAAAAATCAATATTTCCCCTATAAGCTCTCAATAAAATGTTTAGGAAAACGTTTCATCAAATCTAGGCGTGATTGAGATTTTCATAGAGAGATTAGTTCAAGGACTTTAAAAAGACTAAATGTATACGTTCCACGCATATTTTTGAACAAAGAAAAAATATGAAATGTCAAGGTTTGCTGAACCTTTGCATATTCATTATATGAAATTAATGTGCGGATACTAAACAATACGCCAAAAAATGTATGTCTAATTATAACTATCAATGCTCCTAAAATTAGCGCATAGCATTACAGAGAGCACGAAAACTTATCTTGAGAATAGAGGATGATAAAGTTCCCCTGAGTTTAGGACGTATATTATTTATTTTGTTCATTAACTGCAAAGAAAGCGTCATTAGTGAAAGTAGGCATTGGCTGGGACTGAAGCTGGCTGGCCATAGAGGCTATTTGACGCACATTTCATACCCGTTTCTGTGTTGAGTCCAACATTCTTAGCCGACGAACGGGCGAAAGCAATAAATATGGCAACTTAAAAAATTATAAGAAGCCTACTTTAGATCTTTTAGTATTCCTGACAGTTCAACTCCGTAAGAAGTTGCATCGTTGCCGCACGACTTTCTTTGGCGACAATCAACTTAAAAGTAGTATAACAAAATCACCCTGATACTGCCTAAAACAAGTTTTGGCACCTACAAGGAATCGTGTGTTTTGATGTGAATGTTTAAAAAAGGTATTAACGTCAAAGTTAGAGGGCAGATGTATTCCTAATTGTGACAATGTCCTTGGGATAAAACATCCAAAAAAAATCGGAGAATTATTTCTCAAGTGTAAAGATACATTAAAACTAATAAGCATAAAACTTGGATAATAAATGTGTGTCGTTTTTACACCGGCGGATAAGACCATCAAAGGAAACACTGTGCCGTTGAGTTCAGCGATTCTGAGAAAAACATGCTATTTACAATAATACGTATGTATGTATAATGTGTATAATCTTCACAGTTTATTTTATCATCAATGTAGGAAAACCAATGACGCGAAGTCTTTTATCATCTGATTGCGACCACTATTCGTGAGGATTACAAGAGGAACTTGTCAGTTTGAAAACAAAGTTAATACTTTAGGAGCAGAGACTTTTTTTACTCAGAACAGTGATAAAAAATTCGCAACCGTTAATATGTGTGTGCGCCAAGATTGATTTAAATGTGTTATTGACTTGCGGCTAGAAAAGTTTTTAGATGTTTGTATTCAAGGTTTTAGAGCGCTTCTATTCTACGGAGTTAATATTGTTATATTACGACTGGGTTGTATTGTAAAACATTTATCACAATGATAAGGGATTGTGCAGAACAACCACAAAACGTCGTATCATGGAAAAAACATTATCGAATTTTAAAAAAAAATCCACTAAAAAGTATGTTGTCCATTGTCACAAGATCTTGTCACTATGATAAGGGTTGAACACCCGAAACGGCAATCACGTGTCACGCAAAAAAAATCGATTAAAAAGGTATTCCACTACCCATAAGTTTGTATTTCGATCCCACAATACCTTGTCACAAAGATGTTGTGTAGAATGCCCATAATTACCGCTATGGTTTGAAAAAGCCTACATTGGATTAAAAAAATATCCTTCTAAACGTAAGTTTGTGTTCAATCTCACAAGACCTTGTGGATGCTTCTTCATAATAATCTGATGCTTGGGGTTGTGAAACAAGACCTATACTATTCTCAATGGCGCTTTGCTGTTTGTCAAACACTACGCGCACGCCCGTGACGGCCGAGGCCGCACTCTCATTCCAGCTTCGTGTCTGCCTCGGCCACCGCCTACGCCCGAGCCTGCGCCTATCCCAACTCCTGCGCCCAAGCCTATTCCTAAACGTGAGCCTAAGCCTATGTCCAAGCCACTCCTAAGCCTAAGCATACGCCTACGCTTAAGTCTACACCTAAACATAAACTTGGTCTACGCCCAAGCCACGCGTAAGCCTCACCTATGCCTAATCGTTTAGTTGCGCCTAAGTCTAGGCCTAACTAAGCCTAGGCTTTACTTTTAGGCCTACTCCTGAACGTAAGCCTAAGCCTACGCCCAAGCCAGGCCTATGCCTTAGCCTACGGTTACGCCTAAGCCTAAGCCTAAGCCTAAGCCTAAGCCTAATCCACGCCTAAGCCAAGGCCCAGGCCTAAACCTACGCTCAAGCCTAAGCTTATGTCTAAGTCTAAACGTAAGCCTGAGCCTACGCACAAGCCACGCCTAAGCCCACGCCTGAACCTCCGGCTCCGGCCCCGCCTCCGCGCGCGTGCCTTACCACCCGCAGAGGCGCCCTTGTCGCGGTCCAGCAAGCGCGAGAGCACCGAGCCGATGCGGTCGATGCGCGCGGACACGACGCGCTTGAGCTTCGAGTTGCCGGGCTGGCCGGGCTCCTTGCGGCGCTGCGACGGCTTCCGCAGCAGCACCGTCGTGCTCTGGTCGCCGGACTCCAGGAACACCTCGTCGGCGGCCGCGTCGCCGTCCGCCGGCACCACCGACACCGTCGGCACCTCCGCCGACGACCTCTTGGGCGCGTCCGGCGCGGAGGAGCTTCCGGAAGGCGGCTGCGGCGAGTCGGGAGAGGGCTTTGCGGGCGCGTCCGACGGGGGGAGATGCGACAGGGTGGCTGACCGCCTTTTCGAGGTCTCTTCCGGAGGAGATAAGCTTGACGAGAAACTGCTCGAAACGTCAGCCGGAGGCGTCAGCAACGTGCTGGAAGAAGACTTCTCCAGCGCGGCTGACGAAGGCGTCGCGTTAACATCTGTAATTTGCAAGGACTCGGGAGGAGTCTGAAAGCTGCTGCTTGGGGTCGGAGACGAGTCGCGAGACGTTTTGGACCCGTTGGGTGAGTGGGCGTCGGTAAAGATACGCGGAGGTTTTTCCGGGCCCGAAAAGGGTGATGGGGAACGGCGGAGAGTAGATGGTTTGGAGCTGGACAGAGTGTCGGGCGGTGGGGTTTCCGGGAGAGCCGGAGGAGGGGTGTCGGGTATTTCGTCTGATGAATTAGCGGACATGTCGAAATAACTCAAGTTTACGTCGAAATTTTACGAAGAAAATTCGCAATAAATAGCGAACCAAATTCAGAAACAGGCACTCTGACGCCGACGCAAACAAGAAGTGGAAACGTGACTGTGGAAGAAGACTAGATGACACGACATGCAGCAGAATATCACAGTGGCACTGAATGGGCTTCGCGAGGAACTGCGGTAATACCGTCGGCATTGCGCTGCGGTGAGATAAGACGAGATAAGAGGACTGGCTGATGCCGTGGAGGTGCGGTCGAAGCTGATTAGACAACGGTGGAACTGGCGAAGCGCCGGGTGAAGGGCCAGGACAAACAACGTGGAGATCGAAAATTGCATCAAGTATACAAAATGTTTACAATGTAATTCAGTCATGGTCTAAGTAATGGAATAAGTAAAAAAATGACGTAACATTGAAAATAACATGTGACAGCAAAACAAACTTTTTTATCTTCCGACACAGAATTCTTCGTTTAAAAAGATGTATGTTCGTTCATGATGACACGCGTTATACTGTCAGCATGTGCTTTTTCTTTAACAGGGGAAGGTACAAGTATATTATGTATATTATGCCAAGAGTAGGGTACACTTAATCACTAATGTCTCCGAAAATTTTGTGACTAATATTTATACATTTAACATAGATTAAAATATTTCCAAACAATGCTAGAAAGAAGCTCTACATGTATCTCTTAACAATTTTATTTAAATTCGTGTAAATACAAAACAATATCATTTCTAAACCACTACGAATTTATTCAACCATGGTGAAATATTTAATAACACATAATATTTCATGGAACATAGTGAAATCAGTAACTATCTATGACTGGTATTTGATTTCTTTGAATTAAAAATGTAAGTACGGAATTTGTAAATAATTCGAAACTTTATTTTACAAACATAAATGTTGGAATGTTTTCTACCAGGTAGATTAAAAATTCTTATAACCACTGCTTTTTTCACTCACATCCAAACAATAATGATGGATAAATAATACAAAAAGGAATGGAATACATTAGGAGATGTTTAAATACATGAAACGTTTCAGAAGCATCTTTTATATGAGAAATAAAGACTTAAAATGGACACTAATAATTATTAATCGTAGCACAGTTACTAATTATAGTACAATTATTAATGATAGTATAAATATTAAAAATAATATTCATCACAAATAACTGCTTAAAATCGTAAAGTACGTTCTGGAAACGCTAGATCTTCCTTGTTCTTCAGCAATGCCAATGTTGGAATTCACAGCGCGGATGCAGTAAAAGGGTGAAAATAGATCTCGTGTCAGATGCGTTCACGACACAAACGACTTGTTAATTCATTCAATCATCAGCAGTCCATCTGCACACAGTCGGGGCCCGGAGAGAGAGAGAGAGAGGAGTCGGTCAGTACACGTCATGTTGCGCGAATCTGCAGCACGAGGCCACGAGTCATTAATTTCGCATTGCCCGTGAGAGATCAACATGGACATCACGTAACTGTGGTGCAACCGGTGGACATTAATGCGCATTGAAGACCTCACGTGTGGGGGATACGCGGACCAGGAAATGATACGCGATTTCGGAAATACGATTTTGGCAAATTCCAGGGAATTGGGTTGGGTTCACCAATATTCTCTCTCATAGTGACTACTTATGACGTTAAATCCAATCTTTACTGTTTGGGGATTCTCTGTTCTTAACGATAATCATACCAAGGAATTTATTTTACAAATAGGTGTCGAAAGAAAAATTCCTGTATAATAGAATTAGAAAAATGTACTAGTGACCTGAGCAAAACCACACTTACGAGTTTCCCAAAAAATAGGACGCACACTGCTCAAGAACAAATAAAATATTCTCCTACAAAACTGCAATAAATTAAACACTTTAACAAAAAATGTCTTCACAAATACTGTACAAACAATGTAGTGTACATAAATATATAAAATATAGTACAATATATTCTTGGCTTTCCGGTATGAGCCGCGACTCAGTAACTTGGACTGACGTTTCGGCCATCTTGCTGTGGCCTTCTTCAGAGCTATACTGTTGGCTCTGAAGAAGGCCACAGCAAGATGGCCGAAACGTCAGTCCAAGTAACTGAGACGCGGCTCATCCCGGATAGCCAAGAATACATTGACTCCTGCCGCGGAAGCCTACGAACCCAGTACAGAACCCTAATTCCTTAAGCCCCAAGAATATAACAAAAGTTGCTGTTACATAACGAAAAACACGTGAATAGGAAATATTTAAGGGCGGACTGCATATTTCTTGGGCCCTTGATGCCACATGACCTCAACTCTGTCGTAAGCAGTAAACCAATTAGTATGATAATTCAGTCTGTACGCATAATATGAGAATACGTAGATAAACACTATCACATATTAGTTTTTAACACTTAAAATTGAAACTCATTTTAGTACTCCGGGGTTTGAGTATCAAACGAAACCATAGAAGCATTTAAAAGGCACCCGGTTGCATAATTTCGATTCCGGAGCGCATTTGAAATTGGTAGTAGTGATAACAATGTCGATATTATTTCATTTATTTTTAAAAACATTTTTATTATGAAATATCTATAAAATCCTTTTACTTAAATATAAAATAATGTATTGTAGATGATTATTATTAATACGTTTGTACTGTATTTAAAAAATACACCGTTGTCAATGTATACAATCGCAGAATATTTAAGTCTTAGACGAAACCAGTTTAAGTAAAAAAAGTTTTTCTAGTTTACTTTGCAATTTAAAGACAATCAAACAGTCTACAGAAGAGAACCTTACAGTTGATATTTTTATAAAATCTTGAAGAATGTTGATTTTCCCTATATCCTGATCTCTTGAACTCATATCAGTTGCAATGACGTCTTAGGCGACCTCAAACATTATCTCACCGATTACACCAGCGTACGTGAAAGATCTTTCAATATTATTTCGTGCTGCTCACCTGATAAACTTCTCCGCTCCCAACCGGGCAGCCGATCTGCCAGATAAGAGCATGCGTAATACGTAAAATGTAGCCTCTTCTTTGGCGCCGACAATACATTAAGATATCAAAATACGCACGGTTCGTGGAATTTGTGAGATACGAGATGCAAATATCCGTTGTTTTCCTTCGTGACCGACTGTGTGCTGAAGATAATTCAGCAGCACTTCATTCACCATTTTTTCAACAAAAACTCAAAATATCAAAACCATAATTGGAAATAAAATTATCATCATTTGTAGGTACTATATTCGTCCAATGAGTCTGGCCCGTTTCGTGACCTTTTTCATTGACAGGAAAGGCTCCCGGTGATTGGTGCTTCTGAGAATAAAAAAGCTTGCGGGTTCAAGTCTCAAAGAATTGGCCAATTTCTTGACCAAGGGAGCGTACTGACTTCGTTTGCCTGAATTGCGGAATTTTCTATAATATAATTAATTCCATCTGTGTCAGTCTAAATAGAAACTAAGAAAACAAACATTTTTAAAGACATAAAATATTATAAATTAATCTTTCACTCTAAGATTTAAGGAAAGTTGATGGAAATGTATTAAAAATATAGTTATATACAGTAAAATAAATAGTGGTATCCTTTCCTACCATGCTTTTAGGGAAAATTAAAAGATAATTCTTTAAATTCCCCACGTCTTTTAGCTTTTTCTCCACATCGTCGAAATACTAGCATCAGTGTAAGCAGAAACCGAATCCAAAACAATAATTTGAGGATACATCGTTGTTCTCTTTTCCAACTTGCATGCTTTCACAACTTTTCCTATAATTTTGCCGCTAAGTTTTTCTTTCTCAGAAGTTCGAGGTGTCTCCTGTGAAGGATCTGGACATTCTTCAACCATTTCTTTAGATTTTTTGAAAAACAAAACATTTCTCGTCTTCAACGGCAAATACTCGCAACTTCTAATTCTCGCCCAAACAGATGTGTTTGGAATGTTGTCATCAGTTTTGCTGCGAGCTTTTACCTTCAACTGTTTATTGTACTAGGGAGTGGGAAGGTAGACCATCTGTCTAGAAAAGTTGTGCGGATAATACCAGGAGTATCACCATCGAAAGGGAGACGGAATTCCTCTGGAACGATTCCTCCCCCAATATTTTTCGCTACTTAAGATATATTGAAGGGGACTCCCTGGTAATCTATGCATTATTCATGAAATAGTGTTTCCTCCCAATAAGTTGGTGTTGGTGACGCCCACGCACTCAACCATTCTTCATTTAGTGAAAGCCAAAGGCAAATCAGCACTGATCACCTGCATAAAAAAGACGGGGGGAGGCAAAAATACATAAGCTTTCTCCCTCCATGCTTTTTAGGGAAAATTAAAAGTTAATTCTTTAAATAGTGCCTGTGCTAAAAAAGAGAAAGGCGCTCCATCGAAGATTAAGTAAATGCGATTTCATGGTAAAACCCCTTTACATTGTTTTTTATTTCCTTAATTTACTTCCATATGCGTAACTTCACATTGCAACTGCACATTGCTTATTTTAAATGTACGTAAAGAAATAGTTTCCCGATATAAAAACAGAAGATACGATTACAAACTTTCTAAATTAAGAATTTGATTTATTGGAAAATTACCTGTAAGGCCAAAAACAAATGTATTATAGAAAGAAAATAAAGATCTAAAAGTGATTGGGTTCGAGAATGTGTAAGAAATTCGAACGTTACCTGTGGAAACTAACATTTGAGTACTTGGGCATTCTCTTATAACTATAACATTTCTATGACAAGTCTTTCACCGACCCATTAACCGAAACAATCGTTTGAAACTCGTAGTTACATATTAGTAGCGACGAGACATTATTTCTGACCATTTCTTTGAACACTAACATCAGTTTCATTCTGTAAAATGAGTGTTCTTTTCTAACAAACCGAAATGTAACACATATGTGTTGACAAGGTCTAAAAACAAACAATCGAACTTGAAAGACTGATGCACGACACACTAGTGAACTATAATAAATACGTTTCAAAGTAGTGAAGCGAG